GAGTCCCGGCACAAGTGTGTAACTTGTGTGTGCATATTTCTCACTGTTGCCATGTTCCATCAGTTCAAACGTTCAACAAACCAGCGGTACACCGAGCTGCGGCCGAGTTCTGCAAGCAAACAAAAAGGAACGCAGCCTGCAGACTTCGTCACTTAGTAATTTGCATTCAAGCTGCATACACGTTGCGAAAGTCTCGCAGCTTACTGCATCTGCCTCACGATAATCGGATGGGGACATGTCTATGAACAGCGCCCTAGCACAGCTGAGAGCCACGTTTCCTGTCCGACTTCCTGGTGCTGCAAGCCCTGCTTGAGACGAAACGGATCTCATTCTTCGCATAGATCTGATAGGTTTATAATATGTCCGTACTAGACGGCAGTCCAAGCCGGAAGGATTCATACACAGCCGCAAACATCACCACTCTGCCCGTGATGTTTCCGCATGGCAGCCCTGCCAAGGTGCACCAACATTACAACAGCGGTGCAAAGAAGCAATTCCTGCCTCCAAGATCGCTGTTTCCTGGCACGCAGCGCCACGCAAACAGCCGCGCAGAAGTGTATCAGGATGGGATAACAATGACATGGTGGCCGTTGTCTTGTTGGCTCGCAGGTTGTGCTATGCTGTGAGACAGGCGCAGCAGCCAATGGCAAATCGTCCCAAAGTAGATTGCAAGGGAGAAGCGTGACCTGCTGTCAATACCAACAAAACCCAAGTCCGCGACCCCTTTAGTTAACCTCGACAACAAAGATTGACAAAACATCTTGCTGATGGAGCCTTTGCTATCTCCCCCGCATCAGCGAAGCGAAGAAGAAGCAGACGTGATCTGGCACCATGGTCAGTGCACAACAGGACCGGCATCATGCATCGACTCCCGGGGCCTGCCTGGAGCCCACAATCATTCACACTGTCAAAATGGCCCTGTATTCCGAACCACACAACTCACGTCGAATGGCAAGCCTGACATCATTGAACACTACTCCAACGATCGAGAAAAGAGACCAAGAGCGCTCAATGGAGCACAATGCACGCACGCATAACAGCACCAAGCAGCAGCACGCCATGTAAGCACAGTAGCTTCTCATACAAACTGTCCAAGGAAACCCTCAAGAAACAACAGGAAACTTAGCAAACAAAAGACATAACTCTTGCAGCTCAAATATCATGGCGCGGCAAAAGTTATTCTGTCTGCCGGGCTAGCATACTAGCGAAACGCTCCTGTCATCTATAACAGTAAGTCTATGCGCCGACTGGATAATAGGTTATGACTTGACTATCCCTACCTAGCAATCTTGAAGGATCTTGAATCAAACTTCCAGACCTTGCCTCTGTGCATCGTCTAGGGTCTGCAACCCTTCAGGGAGCGACTCCTGCTACAGGGATTTCTGGAGGTAGGGGTGTGCTTTGAGGTCCTAGGTCCTAGGAATCGCCGGTAGGGGTGAGACCCGGTTTCTAAGGGTGCAATCAACGGATAACGTCTCCGGCCGACTCTATCCTCAAGCCACAGGCTACGTACTGTCGGAGCATCATATACGTTGGAGCTTCAGAAGAACCATGCCGGACTATGCCAGGTAGGAATGACACCAGAATTCTCTGACAACCTCAAGGACATCCTTGAGAGCGACTGCTGGCTGCAGTTCCCTTTTTCAACAAGAATCCTATGTGTTTGCCTGGATCTCTGACGGTGTATACCCTAGCTGTCACAAACACCCTCATAGCGATCATGACTCCTCGGACCATGACTAGGGGTGCTGACATGATGGTGTTCTGCAGGGATCCTAGGGGGGCTGTACCTGTACTATTAGGGTTTAGGGTTTGGCAGGCCTTCTTGCTGGCAAATGCTGTCAGTGCTTGAACCTTCTGATCCACGAGCTCTTCTGCACGATGGCATGTGTGCTGACACTGCCTAGGGTGGCCTTTTTGGGGAAGCAGGGAACATTCTTGAATGACGCTGTTCAAGCGAAGCTTCATGCGGTGTGCGTGGTGGCGCAACCATTACACTGGACTCACGGGACTGCGTGAGCAAAGTCAAGTGCAAGGCATCACTGTCCTTCGGAATAGCAACATCTGTCAGGCCTGAGCCAGCAAAGTCAGCAAAGTCAAGGCAATAACTTCCAGTATGACAGCCGCCTCTTACCCTAATAGAGATCCTGTTGCATAACCACCAAACAATCCCTACAGTACAGTAGAGACGGCAGCAGCATGATTAGCTGCATGTAGCCGGAGCGCGACCGATCTCAATCTTCTCGGTCGCGAAGCCTTGCAGTACATAGTTGGCTGTGAATAAGATTGGTTTTTGTGTGGGTACCCAGATACAGGGTCCCTTTTGGGATTCCTATCAGAACCGGGACTTCCTGTCATAATAAGGACGAATATCATGACAAGGAAGACTCCTCTTTTAGAGTAGAAAATGCACAGTTTTCCAGCACTAGGGCTTGAAGATGAGTTGTAGTCACGGCTGAGCAGGTGCGTGCTTTGGTTCACTTCGGGCCGTCCTGCAACATGACAAGCATGGTGGCATTCTCAGCCTCACCTGGCCCTACCTGCATGCTCTATCTCAAACGGCCACTGGTATATCTTCTATATCTCTATTGTATCCCATGCCTCTTGGCCTGAATGTGGTAAAGGCAAATGCTCGCCCCAGACCTTTTTGACTGTAGTCCCTCACTTCTTTTGTGGTATTATTGAAATCTCACGCCCGAGGGAAGATATGTTGGAGGTTCTAGGTCAGCCCAGCCTCCACCTGCTGGTGTTGCTTCCAAAGTTAGGAAGCGCAGCCATCGGTCAATGGAGTACCTGACAAGCCTAGTGCGATCCGCTGCAGTCTATGACATCAACTCAAGGGCCATCACACGGCCTCTGTGTAGATGCAGTGATTTGGATACCTGGGTGCCTCGTAGTCCTCGCCCTGAATCCTACTCAGGAACCTGGTGACGCCCTCATTCAATATCTGGCATCGCGCCGCTAAATCGATCTTCTGGGACAGGTTTGACATGACCATCGCACATCACTGAACATTTCTGTCCGCGAAGCCTTGCCGCCCTCGCAGCAAGTCATTGCAACATTCCCACGCCTTCCCCAAAAGAGTAGCCCGCAATGACCACCAAAGTTGTTTTGAACTGCATTTGGGGCAGTATTGCAGGCATTTACAGGCTACCCTTGGGCACAATGCGTGGTGGAACCCAGCAGGTGATTCTAAGCGAGAACTTCTCAGTTAGGGGCCCTGCTGGATTTCTGCAACATTATTGTGATGGCCAGGGCTATGAGGCAGCCTTTTCGTCACCAAAACCTCCTCCGCCCCCTTGCGCTACTTACTTCTTCGAATGATTGCGCCGCTGTTCTGGTGCTGCTGCTCTATGCCCACTAGAAACGAGCCACACCCCCCCCCAAGCAGAAAGTCATCTCGGGGAGCCACAACACTCTTGGTAAAGGGGGGATCTCCGGCAACCCGACACTTGCCCTAAAGCTAATTGAGCAGGCAGATCTGAAGCCAAGTAACACTAAGTGGGCTATTCCGGCATCTTGAATTCAAGGAAGTTCTCAAACCACAAGTTCTCTCAATCAAAACTACTCTGGGCATCTCTTGGCAATCCCCAGAAAGTACATGCTGCTGAAAACCTTTTCATGTACGGGGTTTGCGAATGTTGCCTTTACTCTACTCTATCCTATTGTATGGTACTCTACTACAAATGTCCATTGTGAATATTCCGGCCTTTATTCTTCTAATTATTATCTCTTCATCTCGTATTTCTCTTGCTGCAGAAAGTGCAAACCAACAACAGTTTCATCATGTACATCGACAGCTCGCGATGAAGTAGCAAGGCCAGAACGCCACCGCCAACGCCAGCAGCAGCACCAGCACCGGCTACCGCCGCCACTGCCGCCTCCTTTTACTGCTGCTGTCATTGTTATGCGCATTATGGCCACTACTGCTGCCATCCTCCTCATCCGCTCATCCTTATCCTACGCGCCAAGACCCTCAGCATCACTGAAATCATTATATCATCATTGTCTGTCTTTCGAAGCGGTTGGCCCGGTAAAGCCGACTGGCCATAATTACTAGTAGTAAGATTGCGTGTAAGGGTACAGGTTGAGGACCCCGCTGTCTCGGTCATGTAAAGTTCTGAGTAAGATCACACGAGGTCACATCCTTAAACTCTTAGCTAGACTTCAGTACCGCGGCCTGCCTTTGAGAAGTGAAGATGCTCATTAGCTGCCAGCGGCTTTCCGCACTGGCTCCAGGTCCACTCAAAGGCTTTTACCCCACCCGTTTTTTGGGAAGTCCTAGCTTTCAATGCTTTCATTACAGACAACATCCTAAGCATACTAGAGGCACGGCCGAATGGGCAGGGTATAAGCCTTGAAGCCCTTAACCTTCACGTGTGGGCGATCGGTGATCTTGGTGTCAGCCGTCCAGCATGTAACAATAGAACTGGAGGCCAAGGGCTCCGAGTGTCAGGCCACGAGGATCCTGCGCGGTGCGGCATTTCTGTACATCAGGAGAGGGCTACAGTATAAGATGCTGGGATTCTGGGAGGAAGCACATATACTCTAAATTGAAGTGCTCACCTGACACTAGGTTTGTGGGTGATCTCGATCTTTGGGCTAACCAGCTGCCTGTAGTGCATCTTGAGCAGATGAGCTGCTCCACAAGGCAATGCACAGAGTGCTTTGAACATCTGTTTTGAGTTGCTTATCACGTTTTCTTAGGAGGGTGCTTGGAGATCCTCCAGAACAGGACACAGAGATGCTTCAGAAGTATAACGCCCACAGAGAAGGTATTGCCGGCGCAGACAAAAAGACACTGCCACTTGCAGTTTAGAAAAACACTCAGTGCAATGACTTTTGCGAGCATGTGATCTGGTTAGGTCCCGGGACAGAACTCCCCTGCGATACTCAGCAGCAATCGGATCCTCATGCCGATTAATGCCCGGCAGGACTGTATAATTGGCAGGTTCTATACTTTCAAGACATATCTCTATGAAGCTCTGGGACGCGGACATTCACGATGCCCGGAGATGCGCAAAATCTCTGCATTGTGGTGCTGCGTCCTTGGACCTCAACATATTGAAGGTGGCACAAGAGCTCGGGCAGGGCAGGAAAACCCGCAACTTAGGCTTGCGATTGAATACATCATAGTCTGCACCGTTGCCAAGATTCTGCTATTTACTCAGCGCTCTGCTGGCCTGAATCAGGACTTTCGTATGGCCAGCAGGGAGCCTTTTGATTCGGCGGAGGGCTGGGCAATTTGCACGAGAAGCCAAGCCCAGCACGAAAGCTGCGCCAAGACATCCAGAACCTCATCTGCAAGGCTACTATCAGGCTGGAATTTGGATGTTAGGACTGCTTCAGGGATCCACGCTCTCGTTCCTGGCTAAGCACCAAGAAGATATCACCCGTTTCATGGAGGCATCTGTACATGATCTCTTATTAGGTGCTTTCCGCACCACCAGCAATGTCGAAGGCACTGCCAGAAGCTATAACCACCGAGCATCTTGCACTGCTGTATGTCCCCAACCTCAGATTCAGATCACGTTAGAACATGTCGGTATGACCGATGCAAGACTGTTTCCACGCTGGAGGCAGTGGAAATTCAGGTCTCACCTACCGACAACGTTTACGTTTGCTAGGACACGCTGGAAGTGACATGCTGGAGCCAAACTGACAATTTACATCACTTCGCAACGAAATCTTGATCATGTTCAAGAAGGCAGTGACCAGGTCCGCCGCACGCGCCCCTCCCCGGCCGCCCGAGCTTGGGTATGAGTTGTCCATTTCACCCTATGAGCTCAGTTAAGTCTACGTGGCAGATGCTAGGACTAAGAGAATTGCCACCCCCATGCTGTGAAGCAAGACGTTTGCAAGATGCATACACTTTCGGTCATGGACGCTGATTGAAAGGCATAGCAAAAAACGAGAGGGTTCACCCTGCCTCTGTACTGTATTTCCTGTTCCTGCAGTACTTCTGCACAATTTCAGCGCGGCCTAACCCCCGCATTCCATTTGGTAAAGCTTCAACAACATGTTCATGTCTACAGCTGCTACTTGCCTTCTACCCTCTCTTGTTTCTGCACTTCAGTGCTAGCTCTTCCTTTCGTTGTTGCTACCTCTTTGCTACTTCTGCAGCGTCCCTTCACTTTGGTGAAGCCAATGACTTCCGCATCCATTCTCTACAGTCACCAGCCACTTCTGCGATGCTCTGTGAAGTTCGGTCCTACATATTACATACGCATTGATTCCGCAACATGCTGTAGCTATTTTATGCCTGCTACTGGATGTTCATCGGTTTTTGCTTCACTTCAATGCAGAAGTTTGGGATTCCAATGAGCCGGACGGGCGAGATGACGTCCTTTTGTAGCGAGTTGTGTCCTTGATTATATACAAATCCTGCCAAATCATGAAGGGTGTAAAAGCATGATCAGGAACCGGCGGCGTGGGATCGCATATCGCCTGAGAGCCCACTGGGGCTCGTACACAAGGAAACAAAGACCCACCACTATGAGCAGCAGCGCCTGCACGTGGCTGTCGCTAAACGGGTTTAGGGCCTCAAGGTGAAGTTACTGGTTGTTAGGAGGGAGTGAAGGAATGCAAGCAAAATATAATAGAAACTACCGCAGTCTGGATGTATGGGGGCAGCCTCTAATAAGAACGGAATCTGGGAATCGGGAACTAGACTTCGGCCAACCCTTGAACCCCCAGCCTGTGTTGATTTCTGGCACAGTCAGGTGGGGCAAAAGCACATGAGCCCCTTAATAACCCCTCTTGTGCTCCCCTATATAACCCCCTCTAAGGAGTTTAGACAGAATGCTGACTGACATCCCCACGGAAGCTGTAATCAAAACGCCTCCCAAAACTCGAGGGCTGCTCATAGATCTTTTGCTTTCAAGCACTCCAGCCCATCATCATCCCTGAATCCAAACCCATCTCCCACGACCATTAACCCTGATTCATCCCTGAACCATGTCTCCTAGTTCTTTCTTTGCAAGCTCTTAACCTCCTCCATTCTGTCGTGCTAATCAGCCCCACTAGTACTAAGCCTCCCCAGCGTCAAATATGTTTCCCAGTGTAATGGAATCAAATCTCAGGGTCGAGCGAAATAACCATAAAAAGGATGATGCAACCGGAGAGCCCAATACACTTTAAGTACGGAATATTCCCTACGCCATCGATATTCCTTGATTCAGGCCGAGTGGGTTCCCTGAGAGGTTTGTGAGGGTGACGTGGCCCTAAAACCTAAATCCCTAAAACTGAAACCCAAATCCCTAAACTCCAAACCACCACACTTGTAGTGAACTTCCACGGGCACCACGGCTCCTTAAGCTTGTGCGGGGCGAAGGCGCGACCAGGCCTCCGAAACCCACCCACAGCAGAAAGGGAAAGAGCCGAAACTATGGGAGTTTCTTAAAGGCATGTATATTATAGGAAGATGAGGAGAACGGAGCATCGTGTGGAACATGACCTGGCACTAGAAGAAATGCTGAACACTGCAATGAAAACGGAAGTAAGAAACATCCCACTAGAAGAAATGCTGCACACTGCAATGAAAACGGAAGTAAGAAACATCTTAGCAATAAAGCAGCAATGCAAGAAATTGCAAACCTGATCACAGCAGCAGCACCAAACATAACAGAAAGAATGGCGAGAAGCGTGGTCGGGTAACATCACCAAAGTACTGATCAACCTAGCATTACTAGCAGCAGCGAGAGTAATGCCCTCCAGGCAAGAGCAACGTCGGGACTGACAATGTAAGCAAAGGTACGAGTAGAACCACCAAAGCAGCCAAGCTCCAACAAGCAGGTTCCCTCCGCCTTTTCGGCCCAACGGATTGAGAGACACACGCTAGACCCTAAACCCTTCCAACTTTCAGGTTCCTCCTGGTAACCCTGCAGTGAGCGCGAGGCACAATCCTCTGGAAAAGCAGCCCGGGACCTCCAGCAGTATGGGCTGTAGCTACGATTAAGCTATCTGCCAGTAGGGGCCCTTGTTGAGGAGTCCCAAAAAATGAGTATAGTGCAAAGGGGGAACCCCTCCCGCAATAATCGCCCCCCAAAAAAGATATGTGTTCCTCATACATATTGGCACTGTATTGGAAAGATCTTCATTTAGTTCTAGGGGGTTGGAGTGGGTTGGAAAGTAGGGGGGGGGAATTCCAAAGGAGCAAAATAATTGAACATTGATCTATGACAACATGACACTTGCCAGTCGGGGGCTAAATGCCTGGTATTAGGGTTTTGGCGGTATAATCTTCTACTGGATGTCTACCTGTATGTTGCAAAGGATAATACCTCATGGTTAAGGCCTGTTCGCTAACTAAAGCTTCAATTCCTAAAATGCTACTGTCATGGTAGCATGGGAGATCAGACTGTCCTGACGGCATGAGTCACTGGCCAATGAAGCACACGAAGCTTCCTGTTGTAGCCTTAGCAGCGCGGCATCTCATCACTGCCACGGCAAGACTAATCGGAGCTATGAAGTACATATCTAGCCCCTGCAGTGCCTACATTATAGGAGCTTTTTGGGCTCGGTAGTTAAGTAAGTGTAGTTGCACAGGCAATCAGGATATCCAGGGGCTTATGAGGCTAAGTAAGACAGCACCAGAGTAAATGAAGCATGCGTTGAGAAAGCTGAAGTATTGTAATTGCCATTGAATGGTCCCAAGTCCGAGTGCGGGGCTCCTATCAGCTCGAAAATCAAGTTGATCTGCGGCAAGACCTGGGGTGACCGGCTGGAAGGCTGAAAGAAACTTGTCAAGATGCTCTAACAGGTCTGTGCCATGCATCTTGATAGTCCCCGATCAAGCGATGTTGTGATCTGTGCATACCATGTCTTATGAAAGGCCGCAACCTGCATCCAGCCCCGACCTTGAGTATTCTGAAGTACTGTAATGGTTGTGAAGTTTTCAAGGATAGAGTTTACAGGTGTCCCTTCTGGGTTTTGCCGGCATATCTACCCAAGCATTGACGAAAGAGGCAGATGGATTTAAAGCCAGTTCTCCATGTGTTTTTTCCAACGCTTGCTCTTGCCGAATGAAGCCCGTTAAGGGCAATGGCCATCTTGTTACCATTTTCCCACAGCTGCGCTGCCTGTAACTGTTAGTACACCTCCTGGCACAAGAAATGCTATGCGACCATGAGCTACGGCAATACCTCTTCACAACAGCAAGTGCCCGACAATCGCGACGACAAGGCTTGAAGCAACAGCAGCCACCGCAATTCCTAGCGAGGATCCTAATCTCTTGGCAGGAGCCCGTGCAAAGTTCTGCTGCTGAGATCCTTGTTCAGAATGGCTGCGCCGGGCTTCCCGGAGGATGGAAACGCTAATGTCATCGTATTTGCAACCGTGCAGAAGTTTGGCCTGCCTGCCTGGATAGAGACTTTAATTAAAGCCACGGTTGCTTCGAGGTTGCGCGGCTCTTCCCAAACGTGTTGCATGCAGTGGAATTGCACACGTGTCAGAAAAGATGCACAGGTTTTTTACCGAGCCGTCTTGAATTCCGAGTCACCATGTGGAAGGTGTCTCGAAAACATTGTAGTATGCACATGGAACACAGCCCCACATCTACTGGAACAAAGTAGGAATCGCTTTCTCGCCCTCTGTGGGTGCCTCCCAAACTGCGGTATCACAGGACAGTGCGTGATTAGATTTGGTGACTCTTCATTATCCAGGCTGCCTGTCCGCACAGCGGAGCACTTGAGGTGGGGCTTGTGGTAGAAAAGCGCGGTCTCCACCTTGGCCGCATCGCTCTGATACCGACGGGGGCAACAGTGAAGACTAGCACCAGTAAACGGGAATGCTACTCCTAAATGTTATACAGAGGCTTGAAGGAACAAGGCCCAAGCCTTTCCTGGAAAGCATTCAGGGAGCTGTGCAGTAAGTGCAAACCGCCTCCAAACGGTTGAGCGATTTCCCCGACTGACTCTGTGACCTGGAGGACTATCATCTTGCTGGACGTTAGTAGCGAATGGCAGCATGGACAAGCAAACCAAAACCACAACAGGGCTCTGGAAATGGAAAGATGGAAATCCATTTCCTACTTCCTAACTAAAACCAATAAGACAAACACTGAACATAGTTCCGAGTATAAACGACTGCAAGGGTGCAAAAGCGGAGGACCCTTGCAGCATCCACTACATAATCCCTACTGCGGGCCCAAAATCCCCTTATCCTCAATCCTGTCAATCTCCACATATTCCTAGGACCCTGCGGGTCACAAACTTTGGAAAAACTGCCAGATCACTTGCCACTCATCTGAAACTTCAGGCTCCGTATCTGCCCTAGCTCGAGGAACCCCAGCGAAAGCAACTCCAAGCCTAACCCCCTGCTATGTGTCCTACGGCAGCTTAAGGGGCCGGGGGGCAGAAAAACGAATCGGGAAAATGTTCAGCGGGTAGGCCATGGTGACCTGAGCGTCAGCTTTACAGTATCTATTACCTGGGTCTTGTGCGGCATTTTAAATCCACGGCCCCTCATCTCGCTGAATCTCGCTCACCTTATATCTAATCTTGTATTGTACCTTGTCAAAATCACCTGATCTCGTTCGCCATGTTGGAATATGTACTGGCCTCTTATCGGAGTCCCAAGGGTCCTATGCCTGTTGGGGCGGTTTTGGCCATTTCCACAGATCGGGTATAAGCAACCCCCCAAAAAGACCTTTAATCTTTGGAAGCTCCCATGCGGAGTCGTGATTTGGAAGTCCCTGCTGCAGGAACATCTGCAACTTGGTACTAAGCGACTGTGCCGTGACGCTGGTCTACTTTAATTATCTTTTCAACGCCTTCTTGCCGTTCTGGGATGCTATTGAGATCAGGCTGAAACGTCCCACTTCCTGCTCCATCTCATGACCCTGCCAAAGCTACATGGCAGGCTTGTAGAGCTGCTAGGCATCTACATGCATTATCAGCGGATTCTGGGGTCCCTTCCGAAGGACTCATTCATAGAAACTATCCATCTCGGAAAACTCTCATGCAATGTCTTGTTGTAAAACCTCCTTAAAGCCATGACAATATCACGGATCCAAGGCACAGCAAATGCCATGCTGGCTATGCCGGAGCGGACCATCCAGTCGTTTGCACAGAGCAGCGGCCTCGGTGTTTTGTAGAGCCTTCAGCTAAGCTTGTACTCTCGAAGAACATAGCTATGAATGCCATCCGTATACTTTAACATAATGTACTACCTCAATAGTACGTTATCCCTGTTCAACGCGTTTGAGACACCATAGGCCGTTTGTGGTACACAGAATGGTAACAGTGTTTGCTGACAGGCTGTTCCAAAATCGCAAAAAATGCACGGCACGAGGTCAAACTGCCATGCCAGGCTAGGACAACTACATATCTGTTGGCACACCACACCGCCCTTCTTTTGAGACCTTATCTGGAGCACCGCCGAAGTGCTACTAGCAGTTTGCATGCTTGTGACATCGGGACTTGCAGTCAAACCACCTCTCGGCTACCTACGCCTGCTGACAAAGAGCCCAGCCAACTACAGCGAGCTACAGTATGGGCCTACTCAAATAATGGGTTTCGAAGTGTGTTATACTATAGTTGTAGACGGACCATGCTGTGTCTCCTTAGACCTATATTGAAAATATTATTAGGGATATAATAGCTGTTGACTGGAAAGCCTGGTCTCTGCGGTAGGCTTCAAAATTGCAGGGCCCTGTCTTGATGCCCTTGCAAGTTGTTAGGGATATCTAGGGCTCCAAAGAGGTTGCTCAGGAGCTAGAGATTATGTAGCGGATTAATTTACCCCGATGAAGAAAGAATGGAAGCGCATGCGACATGCAAACAGCAAAGATCCGTGTGGCTTTAAGAATACAAGGCAGCAAGACCCCCGTCGTAGAAAATGAAGGAGCGAAGCCCTACACCCTAAACTCTGAACCCCAGACACTCATGAAGGCTCCGGCTGCAAATTGCCCAAGACGTTTCCCAGCGTGTCCTCGCCAAAAGCAAGGAAACCGGTGACCTGCCAGGCGCATAGGACAAGACTTAATCCGCATAAATATGATCCTGACTAGTCACCTGTAGAATCCGCCCTGAATCCGGAGTATCCCTGTTTTGTGAAGCCTCCCTAGAGTTTCTGAACATCGCTCGCCTTCTTTTCATGGTTGTAAGAGCGTGCTGCTCAGAAAGACCGAGTACTTGCTTCTTGACAAAGGGTCTTCGCTCTTGCTTGTGTGAACCCTGTGGACGCAGTCTCCCGACAAGGTATGTCCATACAGAGTTGCAGCACGCTCGATGTTAGTCTCGTCACTGAGCCCCTGGCACCCATGAGCAGGTACACCAAGCTGCAGAGAAGCATCGCACCTGAAGATGCACATGCTACAACACCAAGATATATTGATTGAGATCCAAACTAAGACAAATACAGACATACGCACATCTGGATTCACTTTGCTCCCACCCCCCGTCCCCTCACCACCTCTCCCTCCCCCACGCACACACAGACACAGAGCTCAATGCATTCAGGGCTCTGTCAGCAACTTGGTGTTTGTCTGAGATTCCGTTCACTGCGCAGAGCATACTGATCTTGGCTGCCGTCCACAAGCCAAGCTTCTGGCGCATGGAGACTTTCTGCATCCGCTGGTAGCTCTTCTGCTCTAGCCTGAGCTAGGTCAATCTGGAAGTTTGGCAAAGGATGTGAGCCTCTCTGCCATGCAAATGACAAATTGTGGCTGAAGAACACAAGTGCCTTACGAATGCTCTACCAGAAATCTGCCAACAAGACAGCAAGGGGCCACGCTAAGATCCTGCCTGCTGAATCAGCTGCTACAACAGGATGAGAGCAGCATCAACGACCACGCAGGCACGGCAAGCGCGCAGGATTTTCCTCTCAGACAACAGCCGTCTCGTGTTTTAGACAACGCTGCGAAAAAGAGGTGGCAAGCTTCGTCCAGGGAGCATAGGCAACGACTAGTTATGAAGAATTCTAAGGGTTCGCCTGGACGAAAGCTTTGGACCGCCTTGTAGGCTGTGGACTAGGCCTGCTGGATCTACCAGCATAGTGCGCCCTGCACAAAATCTTTACAGCCTTTACATCTTCTTCACAAGCGCACGACCCAGTCTACCTCGAAATGTCCATGGGTGAGGTGTCGGGTTGGGACTCTCTGTTCGTGATCCCTGGGTGCTGCAGCATCAGGTTGAGGTCTTTTACAGCCTCATCTTCGCCGAGCTGGCCGGAGCTCCTGGCATGAGATCGTACAGCAGCACTGGCACTCGGTCCGAACAGCATATGCAAGTCGTCATCTGTGCTACGGCGATTGATCATTTTTGGCATTTCCCCATCGTAGTATTGCCAGATCTGCCAGTGATAGTCATGAATCGTCTCCACCGTCTCCGTGCAGCCCACCTTCAGGCGGCTAGGCGGATTCCCTGTGATCCAGAGTCGCCAGGCCTCCCAACCATTCAGTCCAAGCGCAAGTTTGGACACTGTGGGATTTAAGGGTCCCGTGCGCGCGCTGGACGCTACAATGCAAGCGGAAATCAGCGCAGCTGCAAACTGGCCGGCAAGGTAGTAAGGTGCCATGTCTGCACCACAGCCAAAGGCAACAATTGGTGCCAGAACTCGGGCGGGGTTCAGCACGGCGCCGGTGTACTGCCCGCCAGAGCCGCCACAAGCCATCATGGTCGAACCCACCACCAGGGGGGTGAAGCTGCCACATGCTGCTGGCGTGTCAAGGCCGCACATCAATGAGCAATACACCAGCATGCAGGTCATGAGGAACTCCCAGCTGAGAACCATTTTTCCGGTTATCCTGATGGTGATTTCGGATAGCTTTGAGAATGCAACTTGAACCCCTATACAATTTACATCAATTTACATTTCTAGCAAGTTGACAATCAAGAAATATCTTCAACCACGACCCAGTCTCTCTGGTGGGATGACGGAGTTGTCGAGGCAACCCGGCCCGTCACCAGGCAGAAAAGCAGTGGCCTCCGCCTCAGGCAGCAGTGATCGTGTAGCAAAAGCGCCAAGAAGTGCACCCAGGAACTGCATCACCAGGTACATCAGGCTGTGGAGCAGAGGGTGGTAGCCCAATGCGGCCGTGCTCAGACTTATCAACGGGTTTAGATGGCCGCCAGAAATGTGACCGGTGATGAACATGAGCACGGCAAGAGTTATCCCTTGCAGAACTGGAGCAAACTCCTGTGGGCCTGCACTCGCACTAAGCTGTAAGAACGCAACCCCCAACAACTCCATGCCCAAGGAGACGCAAAAATCTTTGCTCTTCACGGACCTGTGATTGAAGAAGATGCATCGCTGATCCACTACTGCTGCCCCTCCCATATTCCTCAAGGTGGGTTTGGCCGCGCCAGGGCTCACAGCCTTTGAGCCACAACAGTAGGATCAGACTCCGCGGAAGGCGCGTCACGGCCGTCTTGAAAGGTCCGATCCTACATTCGGCTGCTAGCCATAAAGCTGCAGAAGCGGAAATGCATGGTCATTGCGCGCGGGTAGCAACCCAGTGGAAGCATGTGTAATCTCACTTATACCCACTACACTAAGTATTCTTTCGCGCGTGTCCTGCATGGCCCTGCGATGACCTGCCATTCTAGCTTTAAATGTTGCTACTCCCTCTCATGGTGCTAGTCTAACCACGATCATCACGGCCATGCGGCACTAGGACCAGCAGGAGCGAGGGCAGCGGCAGTATCACCGCAAGCACGGACACCAGCACAAATAGACAACGGTTATGGCTTGTACTGCAGCCACTTCTGCTAATGCTGCTACTGCTACTACTGCTACTGCTACTGCTACTGCTCCTACTCCTACTCCTACTCCCACTCCTACTCCTACTCCTACTACTACTACTACTACTACTCCTACTACTACGCTCCCCCTACCAACTATGTTCCCTTAAATGTCAGGAGTGGGCTGTCAGGAGCCTAAGAGGAAGAGGGTAGTGGTGGAACGTGCCTCACCCACGCAAATGCATCAAAACTGCATGCCAATAGTTTTTGCATGTGAATTGACGTCACTATGACCCGTATGACCCCCTCCCCACCCTACCCCAACCCACCTCCCTCCCGGCATCCCCACGCATTACCAAGGTACGAAGCCTTTTGGCATTCCACGAAAGCCAGTATTTCTCCTATTTTGTACTTGGTTTCAATATGCGCGATCTGGGACACATAGTTGGCAGGTAGGAGGGTCGCCTCCTACTACTAGTCCTGCTCCTCCTCCTCGTCTTCCTTCTGCTCCTGCTGCTGCTGCTGCTGCAACACTCCTCCTCCTCCTCCTCCTCCTTCTCGTATCTACTCCAACCGCCACCACCACCACCGCCGCCGCCGCCGCCGCCACCACAGCCGCCATCACCGCCATGCCTGCCTAAAAGATTGCCTGTTGACCTTTCAGTGTCAGTCCAAGCCGAGTCCAGGACTCTGTGTAGATGGATGGAACGTTTGGCCTAGGATGACTGCAAAAGCAGAAGACAGAATCCTGCCTTTAGGGCTTCTCGCAAAGTCAGGGCTTTAGATCTCAGGGCTCAATTTAGGGCTTACAAAGCGCAGCGAAGACATCTAATCCGGTCGGGGCATATTCAATGTACAGTGTGTGCACCATGATAGGAATTCATGTCTATCTGTGTTGCATTTCCAAAATAATTCTGCGAACCAACGATTACACGGTAATGATGAGCACGATGGGCAATGCGAAAATTGAATTACGGGACTGGCATGGGAAGTGTTTGAACATCCGTACCAGGTCTTGTTAGAGTTGGATTGGGTCTATGATGACGTTATCTATCATCCGCTCCCGCATTACCTATGGAATGCCACTTAGAGGGCCACAGGACTTGGCTTAAAGCCCTCTCACTCAGATCCTTCTTTTAATCCCTATAAACCCTTCAAGCCCCGAACCCTCATCCCAACACCGTAACTAAACCCTGAGGGACTAAAACCCTACCACAAGAAAGTCATCGAGCCCCAGACTGACAGCAAAAGGCGAAGATTGAGAGCGACAGCATCTTGAAGCAGCCTGCGCTCCCAAATTCTTGTTGCTCTGTAACCCTAAAGACCCTTGGATTTCAAGTTTTCCAAATAACAGGCTAGTTGGCTATATAGCATAGGGACCCAGTACCCATTACTCAGGTAAGTGCAGGCCCAGAGAATTTTCCGCTAGCTGCTAGTATACCTGGCCATGTTGTGCGGATAACAACGGATTCAACAAGCTCATTTAGAGACAAACACGTGCTCCATCAGTTTTGAGAGCAGATTTTGGATGCCATGTAATGCTGGTAGACGTGGTTGATCTTACGTACCATCATACAGCATAGGAAATGGCAGAAGGCTGAGTCTTTAAGGTTTGCAGGCGGCAGGAAGGCCTCTCAACGCAACCAATCACAAGATATCACAAGGTCATCATGCCAAGATTTGTATGTACTTTACATCGAGGCCCGTCTCCCTGGATCCCTGAACTCCACTCAACGAACTGAAGCAGCAGGATTCCAGTCATGCCTGTAATGCCGCCTTTTGGCTCAAGGACAGCCAAGTGGTCTACGGTGAGCCTGCAGGAAGGAGGTCTGAGATTAAAAGGGTGGGCCGCCAGTATGGAACCCAGCTGTACCTGTACAAGAGGGGTTACTGGCGCGACCCTCTCAAGTTGTGAAGACTAAGAGCCTATGTTAGGGACCCATGACCTTAGATGGGGGTTTCTCAAGACAATGGGATCTCAGGGGCCCCACAGGGGTATAATCATGGGAGTTTGAAAACAACATAGGTCCCCTTAGATAATACGTAAATGAACGACAGTTCTCTGGTTTGGAGTTCAAGGGAAGGCTTCCTGGATTCGGCAGGTTCAAAAAGGGATTCTGTAAGAATGGAGTTGGAAGACTAAGACTATGGGACATACAGTCATTATGAAGAATGCAGACTCAGAAAAGGGGAGAGCAGAGAAAAACAATGTTGCTGTGTGCTTGGGTTCCCTGAGGCCTCAGGTTTGCAAAGCTGTACTTAGTAGGCTAATTTTCCCCACCGCTTTGCGGTGTTAAATTAACTGCCATCAAATTAAATACAGTGACTTGGGAGGCCAGGGTAGCCTCAATGCCGTCACCTTTGTTAGCCTGGGGAGGGTCATGATTAACCTCTTGAATCAAGCCACGTTGGGCTCACACTCTGCTTCGCGAAAACGTAAAGAACAACGAGGATGAGGTACCTTGCACACGGCGGATGCAGAAACGAGCGGGTAACAGGAACTTTGCTGAAATTTCACGTCAAGAGAGCGTCTGTGACTCGTTTGAGGTGACTGCTGAACTCCTGCCATGGGAATTCATCCCCACAAATAGTGTGCATATATGTTCATTGCCAGCCAGGCAGGGGAATCTGAAAGCATGCCAAACAAAAGGCGACAGGGTTGCAAACAAAGCTTGAACAAGTTGAGCACGCCCTGCGGTTTTGAGCTAATGGCACTTACCAGCAAAGCACTGCACATTCCGGTCCTATTCAGCGGATCGGTGAAGATGTCCGGGCAAACTCATGCTAAAGCCACTCTAAAACGACCCCCACTCATCTGCGTTCTCTGATATACAAGACCTTCCACGGGCACTACATCTAGATACCCGAGACAAACACGCTATCTTTAGTTACATCCAACCCGCGCCGCTCACAATTTGGAAAATCCCCCCCTGAAGTTCAGGCTTCCGAGTCACAGGATGCAGGAAACACCGGCCAGGGATGCAAAACGGAGGTCATTAATGCCTTGTGAGCAAGTTCACGCCAACCCACACCGAGATAGATACAGTACAGTTCTGGAAGAAGGCCTCACGGCCCACCTTGCTAGGCATTGAAACATTCAGCTTTTGTTGTATCACTTGGACTTATGGTGCAATACTCTGGAACTGTGGCGGCGGGAATACCTATCGGCAGGTCTCCTTGGTTGAAAAGCTACATAACGACAGCAAAACCGATGAAACAAAAATGCTGGAATCACCTAAGAAGTGAGACATCTGGCGTCTGTTGCAACACTTGGAGTACCTGGCAAGCTTCCAGAATCGTGTGGCCAGGGCCTCAAGAATGTCACGCAACTCTTCAAAATCTAATGAGACAAACAAGAGGAATCCTTACTTAAAATACAAAATGTTGACGGACTTTGGGTGAGGAACTATCAAGAAGCGACAGCGGCAAAAGCACAAGCGCAGTAGTCCAAAGCAGCACGGTGTTCGACTGCGTCAAGGAACCTGCAGCTGGCGTTATCTCACCCACGAATCGTGGTTTTGCTGGGCCCGGGAGGTTTGGGCGCTCAACGGCCTAGGGCTTCCAGAGTTACGGCTCAGTTAGACTTTAGGAGACTTTGTGTGGAAATGTGCACATCCCCTGCTAGGAAGTAAGCCATGGCCTGACAAGTTCATTGCATGCGTTTTGATGCAGCGTGAGAGCCCTACTAAATCCCTGCACCGCCAAGGCGTCCAACAAGTCATAAGCTCACCATGTTCAACCCGTGCGGTGAGCTTCAGTGCCGATTCCCTACAGTAATGGGCATAACAAGCATTCCAGTGCTCAACACAAACACTGTATACAGTTACGTGGTCAGAATTGGACTTTCTAAGGACAAGAGCCCCGAGCTAACAATGATTTCAAAAGAGCTCCCATCTCAACCTATTGATTGAGGAATGATAGCTGACAATCCTAGACTCTAGCCAGAACCTAGGCCTCCCAAAGGCCCATTATCATACAAAGCCTCTAAACCCAAAGTCTGGCTGTACAGGTTATTGTTGGGGAAGTTTAGGAAGCTGCAGTTGGAGTCGGAGGGCTAAGCCACGATCCTGGCGGGACATCGCCGAAAGCTGCATCAAGCACCTTCATGCCGATGGAGGATTCTGCCACATCACGGCAACAGGGGCGCTATGTTTCTATTTCGGGGGGTCTGCGAACTAAGCTGCCTCATGTCCGCAAACAACCCTAAGGGCCACCCACGGCTGATTTCGAATTTGGGATGGTGGTTCTTCAAAGGCCCTTGGAATCACATGCCGAGGTGGGAGTATAAGTCCATGACACGAATTCGCTTGTATTCGTTTAAGCAGCTCTGCAAGTATACTTCCTGATTACAAGCAAAACACAACCATGTTCTACAACTTGTATGCCGACCTGAAACCTCCGTTGGGAATCGGTCTCTGGTTCTGAGCTAAGTTGACAGGGGCCATTCTTGTAGCTAGCTTGAAGGCTGCACCCTCATCCAGGCCTGATGCGAAACTTGGCCGACGGTGATCATGTAGGCAACCGCTGTGCCAAAGCAGAACAGCACGATATTTACCTGTGGCGAGAATCTCATCGGATCCATCATGGCGGCATCATAATGAGCGCAGTTATGCTAGGGTTCAGGGTTTGGACTTTCCGGTTACGGCAAACTGGTAGGTACAACAGGACTGAGACCCGAACATGAATAACATCCCTAGCAGTAGCAAAAAGCCTCATGATCTCCACAGTGCGTGATAGGGTCGCTGTTGGGAAGCTCTGCGTTACCCAATGTCAAACAAGAGGCTTCGACGAGCAGGGCAAACCATGGACCTTACCATCAGCAACTCACGGCCACCACTTGATGACTTGCAAAAAAATTAGCAGTCTATCTTGCGGGTTCCTAGAATCGGAATTCCCTCAAGGTAGTCTGGCCTAATCCCGTGTGCATCGTGCGATCTTGTGCGATTTCGTGCAGTCTCGTGCATCCAAGATTCCAGACAGGATGTGTGAGACCACGTTAAAATGCTGGCTGATATAACCACTTAATTAAGACTTTTCGCAGCAAAGCAGGGAGGCCGGTGGGACGGCTAGGGATATCTAATAAATGGGATGCCGCGCGTCTCTCTTGTTTTGAGAAACTCCCCTACGAAAGTGGTCATCAAGAAAGAATCTAGCATGTACAGGCGTGATACCAGCAGCAGGCATCCACATGTGAGAAACAAGTCCCAAACTGCGCAAGATCCACAACACTAAGGTCCTGACCGATCGCTTCTTTGGCGATCTCCTTCAAGTAGGGGAACATTACCAAATGATCTTCAAGAAAAGCTCTACGTAATCATCAGAATAAGCCTGCGCAGTATAGGGTGAGCGAAGACTATTGTGAAGGCAGGGTTCTCCCAGTGGCTCTCCTTCCGTGTCGTAAAAGCTGGCTGGGAGCTGTTACTGACTCACGTCACACACATCTGCAAGTGTATATACGTGTTCTATATGTGGGAGTTCTTCAGAATAACATCTCGAACCCTTCAGCAAGACCTCGATATGCGCTGTATAGTCACGACATATTCCCAGGGTCCCTACCGTCTTCATCTTCTTGAGGGATGCTCACATGTGTGTTTAGATATACGGACATATATACATGTATATATATACACATACATAATGAGTATATTATACTCACGTGGTGCAGGCTAATGGCATCCTCGTAGGAGTCTTTGCCCGAAAGCTCGACCAACTGCACGATGACTCGAATGCTGAGAATGCTCAAAGCAGCCAATAGGACCATCAGCCTTATGCTTGGCAGGTGGCATGTTGATGTTGGGGCTTAAAGAATTCAAATTAGGCTTTAGGGCACATCATGGGATTTAACGTCATAGTGTCTACGTTCCGTCAACCCAGCACAACTACCAACTCCCACACAAGCGAGGCGTCGTTTGGGTGAAGCCCTATGGAGATGCTACACGTAGATGTGAAAGGGGCCATGTCTCAGCATGCATGAAAACATTGGCCAGCTTCTGCAAGCTCCTGCCATGCTGTCTTTTGTTCCGAGATGCCAGCTTACATGATGAGACAATGTCAGTTGGCCTCACACCACACTGCTTGCCAAGAAGCAGCGGCCCCCAAACAATGCCAGAATAGTACCTTAGCGATGAACGGCTCCTCACCACGTAGAGGAAGGTTGCGCACCGCTTGATCCGAATGCGGCTTATACCCGACTGCCAGCTGAGCGTAACAAAATGCTCTTCAACAAAAGCGGTCGAAGCTTGGATGCAGATGCAATCCAGTACCACTAATCGAG